CAGATCATACATGCAAAGTCTTTGGTATTTCTGAACATGCTGGCAGGGGGCACAATTTGTGCTGTTACTTCTCAGAAATGAGGTAAATAGTATGTTGAGACTATTTCCGTGAAAGGGGAAAAATAATACGCTGAAGTGATGATCCTGTTGAAACACTTCTGCTGTGCTGTCGTCTCTTTGGTGACAGTACTGACGATGAAGGTATTTTGTAGATAGCGAATGTCAAGAAACTGTCTCTAAAATGTTGTCCTGGCATGTTATTAGTATAGAAATTGGTTCACACCCAGATACCTTATGGTTCTCACAAGATCAATGGATGGGTAAGAGAGCAAGAATGTGAGATACAAGCGTGTGCTTGCATGTCGGTTGCCTGACATTACCTTCATCTCCCGTGACTTCTGTGACTACCTGGTGGCTTGCAGAAAAGCTGGACCTGGGACCGACTCAAATCCGACCAGCCCAAGGGAGAGTTTTGTTGCAGAAAGGTTAGGCAATGGTTCCAGCCTTAACATTAGATGCTCAGGTCTGTGTTCAAGCCTATTGATAAGTTTTAATTTAATTGTAGTCTTTTGCCTCACATACTTTGTGTGTCACGCCAACACCTCAGGACTCTAGTGGTTCAAAGTGGTTTAAAGGCTCCCAGCTGCTTGTATTGGTGGCCTGGCAGTATATTGTCTTGGCCAGGTGGGTAGGCAGTGGCCAAAATTGAGATAACCAGCAGTGGTCATGATGAGTTTACATAGATCAAATTGCTTCTCTCTGATTTCAGAGCAGTGTTATTGTTAACAATGTTTGGTCTGCGATAGCACCCAGTAGCTGGAGGTGCTGGTGGAGCTTGGTAGCGCCAGGAGGCAGAGAAGGAAGAGGAGAAGGAGGAAGAAATGCCTTCCCCAAAGAACCTGCCACCCCAGCTCGCTCACTCAGGTCTGAGGCAAATAAAATGAATGTTTGTGGCTTGCTGAAAATGCCCTTACTTCACTGCTACCCGCCTTTGGTGGAGGTGCCTGAGACCAACCTCTGCCACATGGATTTCAGAGACCAAAACAGAAAATGTGAATTTGCTGAAAGAAGGGAGAATCTCTTAAACCCGGCCTTTTTTTAGAAGGTCCTCTGCGGAGAAAACAAAGTGTAATTAAAAACAGGCTTTATTGTTGCAGTAACCCATTTCACATGTGACCCTGGGAGTCTTCCACCTCTCTGGGTTTGTTAAATCTTCTTGTTAACTGCCCGAGTCTTGCTTAGTTTCAAAGACGGGCTTGAATACTGCCTTCTCCCCCATATCTTACTATTTTCAAGGCACAAAAAGAACATCACCCTTATTAGGAAGCTCTGCTCTTTAATATTTATTTTTAGAGAACACTACTTATAATGATTTACTGTCTCTGCTTTCGGTAACTGAAGGCTTGGTGCTTTTGTGTGTGCTAATCTCCACTTAATCTTTCTTACCGCTGCAAATAGCATGGGGGAAAAGATGTTTTTGCAGAACAGCGTAGCTTGGAAATTGTGCTTTTTTTAATTACCGGCTGTGAAGAAATCTGTTTTTCCACCAGTTGACTTGCATACTTTTTAGTGGTATAACAGGTTCTGAGGGGAGATCTCTGCCATAGATAGCAACGTGAACTTCCCTCCTTCAGAGGCAATTGCACATTGTATCTATAAGGTTCTCCTAAATGCATTGTCTTACAGTTACGCCCTTTGTGGAAAATGAAGTTTGGCGGGGGTTGGTCCTTCCCTGTAATAGCCTCTATGCTTTGCAGGCTGTAAGTAATTTTCAGAAAAGCTCAGGACAGGACGCATGCCTCTGGGCATGTCTCTGCTTCCCTTCCCTAACCAGGCACCTCCATGGCACTTCAGCAGAGCAGCAGATGGGAGCAGCAAACACGGTTGGCCAGAGGGCAGAAATCCCTGCCGCGAGTCCTCACAGACAACAAACAGCTCCTTACTACGTTTGGGTCTTCCACAAGCTGCCACCATTAGTATCTCCAGTGTCATCATTCAGAAGTCATCAGCAGCTACATGCTGAGGGATGCTCAAGGGTTTGGATGCAGATATCCATGCCTCCAGGGACCACGATGGCAGGAAAGGGGAGCGGCAACCCGCCGTGAGGGATGCACTGGGCTCCAAGGACACCTCTGTCCTTGCTTTTGGAAGCTAGCAGGGAATCGTGGGATCAAAGAGATGGTTTGCAAGGTCTTGAGGGGCTTGTTAAAACACATAGCTCTGAACCTCTTCCTGCAACATGCTGTCATAGGACCGGCTTGGGAAAACAGCTGAGAAATATGTAGGATAGAGTCAAGGGCAAGCCTGGGGATGGGGTGGTCCATCCTGCGGGCTTCCCACTGCAACTGAGAGCAAACCATGGAGATATCCTTCCTCCCTGTTGCGGCAATCGGAACCTTTGCAGAGCCAGTGCAGGACGTGCAGCTTGGGTGCACCTCAGCCCCCCGTGTCCTTGCCTCACCAGGACCAGCAACAGGCGATGGCTGGAGGCAGGGGCAGCACATCAGGAGCAGCCGGGAGTGCTGCACAGGGCAGCAGCGCTTATGGGCATCGCCATTTTCTCAACTGCCAAGCCCCCTTGCCAGATGGCACCGTCTCAGCATGGCACCATCAGGGCACAGGCGGCCACTGACCTGCTGCAAGCGGAGGTGGTGATGAGAGCGTGCAGGAGCACGTGACAGATCGGCACGAAGTACCTCTTACTTTCCATCCCCCTTGTTTGGGTGCGAGCAGACCGTGAGACCTAACAAACCTCAAACCCGCTAACACCAAGTTGCAGAGCCTCTAATTTCCGCCCTTTGCTAGACAGGTCCCCTGAGCCTCGGTCAAAACATCCTCGCTGGTGCAAGACCTGTGCATCTTCCCCCTTTTACTCAGCAAACTGCCGGCAGCACCCCCCACCCCTGGACATTAGCATTCAATTACCCTGAATTTCATCACAGAAAGCAAATTTTGCCTGGCCACAACTTTGAAAGGGGCAAAAACAAATGCCGTGGGTTACAGCCTGTTATATCTGATCCACTCTCCAGATTTACCACCTTTTTTTTTTTTCTCTTCTTATGTGGTGTTGGTATCAGATCCTCCTCCCAGCCAGCCAGATCTTACAGGAAACTTGGTTATTAATCAGATTTTGCAGATGGAGGGGAAGGGGGGAACACTGTTATGAACTGCAATATAAGGAAAGTTGCAAACAACAAGTGGGTGAGCAGAAAGCTCTCGCTGTCCTTGTGAAACGGCTGCTGCCATTTCTCTGTACAAACACGCTCGTACTTCCTCTGCTGCAACTTCCCACGCCACTCAAGTTCCCCAGGGGAAGTGAAGAAGAAAACTCATCAGAGAAACAGGTCAGGAGAGAGAGAGATGATGACTGACTGTTACCAATGGCACAATGTGGGGATTTTGGGGCATAAAACAGACCTAATGCCCACGTGCTTCTCTGGGTTGCTACCATTATTAGCCATCCCTAAGTCTGAAGTAAGCTAAACAGTAAACTTAAGTATCAAGAGCTCCTAAAATCAAGGAAACTAGTTAACAATGAAAGCCTTCGACTAAGGAATAGGATGCATTACGACTGAATGCTAGTGCCGAGAGGGCAGTAGATGAAAGCTGTACTGGGGCTGCATTCGCAGTTTCCCTCGGGCTAGAGGATGCAAGAGGTGGCATACGGGCATGGGAACAGAGCTGTGAGCAGAGGGAGACTGCCTGTGTCACCCTGACCCAGCCACGATGGGAAGGAGTCCTGACATTATCCTCTCCACCCTCTCTAAACTGTGGTTGTCGGCTGAGCAATACCTGACTAAGGCATACCTGAAGGATGCTGGGGGTAGTTTTCACAACAGGACTCAAGCGGCCGTGCCCAGGTCACATTTCTGTAACTGGTTTGGGCCTTGGTTTATTAACCAGCTCTCACTAAGCGTAACACTTAAGTCACATCATCATAGCACAAGGATCACTGCGTGAAGCCTTTGGGATTAGAAATCCCACACAGCTTCCCCAAGTGTTCAGATGTCCATGTGCCTACACCAAAAAGCACAGCCTTTTGCTAATTTTTTTTTTTTTTTTTTTCAAATTGCTGTCAAGACTGTTCCCTCCCTACCATCCCAGCAGGGAGAGAAGCAGGAGCGTAAGCCGATACTGGGATGCTCGGTCAAGTCCCATCCTGCCACAGCCTGAAGCAATGGGCTACTCTCCCACTGACGACTCAGCTCGACTCCTCCTAACCCGCTGTGGGCAGGAGCAGTAGCTGAGGCTCTTCAGGCCACGCAGTCCCCCTCTTACCCAAACCGTGGAAGCGTGTAGCAGATTGACTTTCCCAGAGGTGTTTCTTATTCTGCTGGGTCATTCATTCAAATGCCCAAGTTGTGACTCATTAAAAGAGCAAGCTTGGGTTGAGGGGGGGGTGCAGGAAGGAAGAAAAATAGCTTGCGAGAGCCTTCCTGTTTATCCATGGCTTGGGAAAAAAACGACCACAACGGCATGCACACACCCTGGCTCCATTATCTTTGCTGGCACAGCGCTGGCTTGGCTCTGTCCCTTACCACTCCAGGCCAAATCCAGCCCTGCCACGAGCGTGTTTACTTTAGAGGAGTTTACTCAAGAGAGAAATCCGGCCCCCGGAGCCTGAATGCTCGCAGTGTGCGAGCGAGGCCGCGGGCACCGGGAGCCCCCCGTGACAATGCGCCGCGGCGCTGGCCCCCCGCCACACTGGGGAGGTCATTTTCTTCTCGGCAATTAGCAAAGTGGTGGCACGGCTAAAAGAAGTTGAATAAACACATTCAACCCCAGTGGGTCCCCGGTTTGCTCTGTTCTCACCACCCTTCCCTTCTGGGCACCCGGTGGGGCCCCAGCAAGCGAGAACCCAGTGCCTGTGCGCTGGGCTTTCATTCAGGCCTGGTTGGAAAGGGCTTTTTGGAAAGAGGAGGAGGAGGGGGGGAAATAGCCTTTTAGCTTTCTTCTTTGACAACAAATGTCTTCCCTTTTTTCTTTTCAGGGAGGAAAAAATGCCAGCTTCTCTAAGAAAACTGCAGCAAATGGCTGTTTTCATGGGACTGTTCAGCGGCGGGGGATGCATCGTGATGTACAATCTTATGCAAAGTAAGCCCTGGTGCTGTTAGCAACCTTATTTCCCCTCTGCCCCTTTCATTTGCTTTTGTGTAGCAGGGGAAAATAGCAGTGTGCAAGATGTGAAAAGCAGATAAAGTTAAGGGAAGTGCGGCTGAGCCTCTGGGTTCTGCCTCCGTGGGCTCTGCTTTGTTCAGCCCCAGGGCTGCTGCTCTCCCAAGTGCTGCTGCATGCGTTTCCAGAGGTGGATACTGCATAGGAAGCAGGCTGCTGTGGTCAGGAGAAAGTCTGGTTTCTAGGGGTTTTCCTGAGGGTAAGGGCGAAATGAAAGCTCAGGCAGCAACACGGGTTTTGTTTCTTACTGAGATTTTACAAATGGGCAGGAAAAGAGGACCGTCTGTGAGAAGGCATTAAAGTCTAGCAGTTTTAAGTCTGTGGTGCTGGCCCTTAAACACAACACACTTGTGAAGTGCTAAGACATCATTAGTTTCTCCTGAATGAAGGCAGATAAGAGCACTCAGCATTGAGAAGACCAGGACAAGGAGAAAAAAAGCTAGACAGGTGCCATCGCTGTTTATAGGAAGCTCTAGTTGCTATGTGTCTTTGGCCAAGAATACAAATTATTAGTCCAAATCACAGATGCTTGTTTTTTTTCTAAAATTGTTTCTAGGTATTTAGCATCAGAGGCTAAAATAGGCTTTGCTTCTCTCTCAGGGGATGCTACAGACCTCTCAGCCCTATGCCTCTCCTTTGCTGGTACTATCAAATGATACTGCTTTTCACCGACCCTTGTATCAGAGGATGCTGCCAGAAAAGCGTAGTCAAGCCTGTTCCTCAAGCCCTCAGATAAGCTCTGAAACCTCACCTTCATTTTACACATATTAATAACAAATCAGACAAGGCTGGAAAGCAGGCTTTAATTTTAGGCGGCTCATGCCCTCAAGCTTCAGAGTACATGACAGATATATGATCCTCTTATGCTTTAAAATATTGAATCTGGCTTTAACAAGGACATTAGCATTTTTTAATTTTCTGCTTCAGCATTGTTGTCTAGAAATCTTGGGGTGAGGGGGGCGCAGGGAGGGTGACCCCTGTGCTATACAGGAAGTCAAAGGGCTCATTCCCCACATCACTTAACTGTGCAATCAAGTGACACGACGCAATGGCTACTTCTTTCTCTGTTGCAATATTGGTGGCCACTGAGAAGCTGTCTGATAACTGGGTGACAAGACAACCAGGCAGTTGAAAGGACACTTTCTGTTGCGGTGCATGTCCTTCTGCAGCCTCCAACAGACAGGGGAGCCACACTGGGACCCCTTCCTCCCTTGGCCTACAGCCAGGCTTATCCCAGTTCTTTCTGCTATCCCAGTGCACAGAACTGGCCCATACTGGGGACCTGTGAGGAGCAAGTGTCTTCCGTAGTGGTGGGAGCAGGGGGAGAGGGGTGCTTCCTTCCCCTTTCTTGAGCCTGAAGGGAAGTTTGCATGCGTGTGGTCTCTCTGAAAGCTTGTACAAAACTCAGGTAATTGTATTTCTACTCACTCCCTTCACTTCCACACCCTCCTCATGGGACCAGTCTCCCCAGCCAACCCCAGCATCCTTCCAGCTCTCCTACTGAAAATGCATGGACAAATGGATTAGTTTCATGTCCAATACACGAGATGCTAACAAGGAACAGCTGAGAAGGAGCACCAGGAAACTTCAACCCGTTTCCCCTCCAACCTGTGGGATGAACACAACATGCTTTTAACGTGTTCTGGGTGGCTGCTTGCTATGATCTGTAGGCACCAAAGGGCTGATGTGCTGCAATCTCTTTTGCTGGAGCTCCTCAGGATGGCCCAGGGGGCCAGGGAGGACCAGCGCAGGCTGCAGCCTAGCAAAGCTGTTTCTATGCCAACTGGATGCTGCCTGCTCGAAGGGGATGCCTCTAATTAGGGCGGGGGGGCAGCATCCTTCTGCCTAAGGGTCCAAGAATAATACTGACAGGCAAGAGACCAGGCAACATACCTTACACCTTGTTTTAAACTCTTTGGAAGATGAGACCAAAGTTGCCAGAGTAGGATTTTCACACATGCACACTTTTAGCTTAACTCTTGCCCTTCTTGATGTCAAGAGAGTGAAGTTAGGCTGGCATGAAGCACAACTAGAAATCTCAGCAGGCAAGCCTTAAAGCTAGTTATAAGCAAGACTCTGCCTCCATAAGAAGGGTTGGCACATTTCCAGCCTCGCAGCTTTGCGCCGTGCAGTGGTCACCAATGGACAGCATTTCCCAGCTATAGACATTGATAAATAGCAATTTACTACAATTGTCCTCCATATGCCAACACTGCAGCATCCAGTCTACTGTGCTATTGTTGCTGCTTGACCATTAACTCTAATCGCGCTTCTTTGTGCCTCCTTTTTAACGCATCCATCAGTAAAGTTGCAGCTTTGTGGCTGCCGCTTGAAAAGCTGTATCGAGACCACAGCAAGAGTTTCACAGCAGCAGCTATTCTGGTCTCACACCAACATCTGCAAAATAGTCTCCATTCTTAAAGTATTTTCTGTACCTCCTTTAAAAAAAATTGAATTACATTCAGGACATTTTCAGATATTCATCCTTATGCTTTTTTTTTTTCCCCTTCTTTTTTTGTGTTCCTTTTAGATGACATACTAATGCATGAAAAGCAGGGAGACATGGCCACAAACTGAACTGTATATCAGTATGGAACAGGCTATATTCAGAGCCCTCTTCACTTAAGTGAGCTGAATAACGTCACAGCTCAGCACCGATTCTCTGATGTAAGGGTGTTTTTCCTCGTTTAGCCAGATTTTTCCTAATTAAGAGTTTCAGAGTGTTTTTCACAGAGGGTGTGGTAGTCTGGAGGAAATGTCTTTTTTTTTGGACTTATGTTTTGATTTTGAGTGGACAGTCTCTTCACTACCCTGTTTCTGTCACCTAGAGAGTTTTGCCAGAACCCAGTATTATCAGCAGGCTTTGGAGCAACTGAACAGCAATCCCGATGCCCTGGAAGCCCTGGGCGCTCCCCCACTTAAGGTTCACAACATCCGACTGACAGATGGGAGTAACCGTGTGGACACAGAAAGAGCACAGGTAACGCTGGGGAGGTGGTGTCACTGGGTGGCTTCCCAAGGCGCCGGGTGACAGGAGATCAGATAGGGGATTTTTCAGTAGCTCACGAGTGACCTGGGGACACTAGAAAGGCAGTAGGGTGGGACACCAGTTGATTCAGAAGAGGAATGGATTTCCAGAGCATAACTATGCTCTAATGTGAGGGACTAGAAATTGTAAGAGCAGAATCTTCATCTTGTGCTCTGTGGACACATCACAGAATGCCAAAGTACCACCCAAGTCAGTCGAGCCCCCTCCTGCTACTGTAAGCCACAAAATCATTTTCAGACACATATCAAGATCCATCTTTAAAATAGCAGCTGTCTCCCTCTTCTCCCTGGATACGTCCCACGCTAGTTTTCAAAGCTTTATTCGGAACAGAGTTCTATAGCTGCTCACCAGCTACGCTGTGGTACAGCACGAATGGTGTGGGTTTTAAAAGCACCTGTAAGTCTGTGCCACGGAGGACGGCTGTCCTGCATGGGGCTGAGCGCTGGGGTTGCCTAGTGACTGGAGAATGCTGTGCTGGCTGCTGAGGTATTGCACAAGGCTGCCTTGCATCAGCCCAGAGTTGGGACGAGGCAAACCTTACAAAACAAGACCACTTCCACTCTGGGTTGCTGCCTGAAGAGGACTTTCCATCAGTACTTCTCCCCTTTAATCCAGGCTGCTCTTCCCTGGTTTTGCCAGCCATGCAAAATGCCCCTGGTGACCTCTCCAGGTAACTCACCGAGGGAATCTCATCACATTTGAATAATTTTGTTCCTCTTGGTGACTAGCTTTGGTCCTGGGGACCAAGCAAAGGCAGTAAGGAATGGGGGAGATGGTGCAGTGAAGAAAGGGGGCTGTCAGGGCAAGAGAAAAAAAAAAAAAAAAAAAGAATCTTTAACAATCTCTTATGAAATTCCAGTTTTCATCTCACTCCAGCCAGGCTTCACCCACATGATACCCTGGGCAAAAAGTTTCCCAGGTTTTAGAGATTCCACAAGGCAACATATCTAAAGCCAAAAACATGGGGAAAAAAAAAGCACAACCACTTACACTGATTGATTGAAAAGAAGCAGCGAACCTTTCCCACTGATGTTTTCCTGCGTCACCTTTTAAGAATGCTGGTTGCTTGGGTGACTCAGGGTGAAGTCAAACCCTGCCTTCTGCTGACCTCACCCAGGACACAAACCACCAACTTTCTTCTCTGCTTTTTCATGCTCGTAAACATTCATGTTCTCATGAAATAAACTAGTTAGTCATCAGTAATGATTATATCATAGATCAATTTACTAACTCCACAGCATCCCCGAAACTTGCCTACTGGGCCAGTTGGAGAACCCCTGGCATTTTCCCTTTGTGATTGCAGTACCACCAGCAAACGCTACACTTCAAACATTTATTTTATTCAGATGTTAGACTGAAGGCAATTAGTTGTGGTTGGTGCTGCAGCTCCTAGCTTTGTTTGTTAAACAACTGAGTGGTAGAATTTGCGACACTGAGAAAACTCATGGGGCATCTCGTTGCCTCGATCCACCTTAATGGACCCATCTGTAGAGGATCTCAACCTACAGGCTTGTTATGGTTATGGGAAGCTCTAGCACAGTGCAGGTCACCTCTGGATCACCGTGCATTCTGGTAGGGATATGTGTTTGCTCATAAATATTTCAGAGCATGAGTGGTTTTCCCTGGGGGTTGCAGCTGTAACACAGTACATTCTTTCAGCAGAAAGAGATTAATGTATGGCAGAACAGGCATACCTGCGTAGCCATGCACACATTAAACATCTGAAAAGCTTAGTGAAACTTTGAAATACATTAAAAAAATATTAATTAATTCGGGTTTAAGTTAAAAAGGAGGTGTTGCGTCTTTGACTGTAGAAGGGGTAAATGTCCGCTTCAGTAACATACTTCACTGAGTCTTTAACATACTTTTACATCTGCAGATAAAGTTACCAGTATCTGGAACAAAATCAGCGGGGTACCTCTATATTAACTCAGAGATGGACCACTCCCGTCAATGGTGCGTACTGGGAGAAATGTATAGACTCTGGGAGAGAAGCGGTAGGAGAAAAGAGTGGAGCAGGATATTTGCTTTAGTCATCCGTGTTGCTGAGATCATGCACGCAAAGGAAGAGGAAATTCATGTCTGAAGGTCTTGCGAAAAGTTATTACTGTCATTACGACAAAAATGTAAATTAGTTGAGAAATATATTGAACTCACCCCATGAATACAAACAGAACGAGATGAGCCATTCATTGGCGTGAAATGTGTTCTACAAACTATAGCTCAGTATATATACAAATACTGTGAGCCAAGGTAATGTATTGTCCCCTTCTACCGCTCCTCCCCAAGAAGGTTCAAGGCTGTTGAACAGCAGTCCTAACTATAGTCTAGGATCATGTATTACAGTAGGAAAAAATATCTTGCACATTAAATCAGAGCCTATTAAGGTGAGCTAAAAAAGGGGTTTTTTTTCAAGCTATCCAATAAACACAGTCTTTGTAGTCAAAAGGGTACTAGAACAGCTATTTTACAGTAGAAGGATGCTCTGACTCCACATCATATAGTAACGACTTTACATTTTTATAATACTGAAGCCTGAAAGCCTCTCCTGTCAAGGGTAAGCCGATTCCTAGAACTGAGCAAAGAATGAATTCATGAATTCAAAGTCTGTCTTCCATTGCAAAAGAGGAAATTTCATTAGATGCAAACGTCCTCACATGTACTTGTTCTCAGAGACTGTTAGGCATTTCTGTCAGCTTTGTTTAGAAACCCAAAGCTACTTTTTTGCTCAGCTGCCACCAGCCATATGGTAACATTTTCCTTCCATAATTAGATGAGCACGACTTACTGTATTTCTCTTTGGAATAGCTATGGGAAGTAAGGTGTAAAATGATGGGAGGAAGGCACTAGGCTGGGACTTGAGAAGCTCAGGGCCAGACCTGGCCTCCTTCCTCGTGACCAGGGATACCCCCAGAGGTCCCCAAGCCACCTTTCTTGCACACCTATGCTTCTTGGGGCACCTGGGCTCTGATCTCCTCGCTCCTCCTCATCCCCTCCTCACAGATGGAGGGAAATAACAGTTCCCTCCTCTTTCACCGAGGTACTGTGAGGATAACTGAAGATTGCAAAATGTTAAACTACGGCAGTAACTGAAGTGCATACATCTCTCAGTTTTGTTTTAAAATAAGCTTTCCATGCATTTCCATCTGCAAGCTTAGGAGGATTAAAAAAAAGAAATAATGCATCTTATCTAAAAGGGTTTGTGGCAGACAGATCTGTCAGACTCGACCGTCTTGGCTTACATGTGGAGTCCTGGGCACCGTGCCACATAGGGCTAGGCGGGACTTAGTGTCCTTGCACCCAGCTGAGGAACTAAGAGTAAAGATGGCTTGTTCCCATCTGCTCCGCAAAGAGGAGCTCCTGAAGTCCCTGAGAGAAATAACAAACGTGTAAGCAGGCCACATCCTGGTGGGGCTCTGCAGGACATGCACCTGGGCCCTTGTAGTGGAGACCCGGGAGGCAACCAGACCTGATACAGACACAGTAATACAGCACCAGGAGGAGAGCTCTCTCAGCAAAAGTGTTTGAGTCTCCCAAGCCACCGAAATGCTTCAGACTGTGCATGAGCAGCCTGTCCGTCAGGGATTATTTATTTATGTAATTGTTAAAAAAAAAAAAAAAAAAGAGGGCAACTGAAAAGAAGGGAAATTGGGAGCACATGAGCTGGGTTGGACCTGGGAGGGAACATTCGCTCGGGTGCGGGCAGTTCAGGGATGGGGATGGTTCCCAGAGGAGAGGGCAGCTGAGGCAACAGTCCTGCAAAGTGACACTTGCCCACCCCAAAGCGAGCAGAGGGCAAGGCCGAGACCTCAAGCCATGCTAAAGGGAGTGACCAGTTGCTCCTTCAAGCCCCGTTTTAAGTGAGGCAGTTGCTTGTCCCGGGGTCGGATGGAGGTGGAGGGCTGGTGAGGGGAGAGCCCTGCCGCAGACCCATCACGCAGAGGTGCAGCAGCCTAAATACCTGATTGTATGCACTCGGCACCGACTCCAACAAAACCAGAGCTGGGTGAGCGCCAGGAGCTTTTGAAAAAAATCCTATCTTAGCACCCTGAAATAATCACCCTTGCCAGCTGGAAAAGCATCACAAGCAGTCGCACAGAAGTGGGTTTGGAGCAGCGCTTGGAGGAAAGTAAAGGCTCCCCCTCAGCCTTCCCAACAAACACAGTTTCCCCTCTCCTTTGAGTAACCATCTTGGTACCCCGTCAGGGTTTCAGCAGTCACATTGAGTGATCACACAGTGTTCAGACTCCTCCAAGCCAGAATAATTCCTTAGCAACACAGTCTGGCTCAAAGGCTGGAGAGGAGCGCAGCAAGGAATGCACCCGCAGGATGGAGAGGAAGAAAGGCACCGTGTCGGGGCGGGGGGAGGAATATCCTGTCTAAAAATAGCTGGCAGGATTTTATTTGGGTTACAACAAATAGGAACATGCATCCCAGACCTTGAAATCTGGGCTGCGCGATACTGTTAGGGAAAACAGCTTTCAGAAGCTGGCACTCGCAAATGAAGTTTTAAAACACTTGAGATAATTTTTAAGAGCAATGAATGCGTGGAATGATTTGTTTCTCCATGCCAGCTGTTTCTACACCAACTTTACTGCTATATTAAAAGCGATTGAAACAAGTTGAAAATCTCTTTTGGTTTGTGTCAGCTGGTGCCTTCAGGATGTCACCTTGAAACTGCGGGATGGTCAGAATATTCCAGTTTACCACTCGCCAGTGGAAAGCATCAGTGTGCAAGAAGGCTAAAAATCAAAGGCAGCTGCTTCTCCACCTCCCGTTGAGCTGAAGGAGCCATTAATCGATTGAATCCTGCTGTGTGTGTGAATGTACACAGTTGTCACAAGTGACAATTTTGCTTAAATGGGTGCTCTCAGGACAATTTTCTTTCTAAGGTTGACCTCATCATTGTCATAATTGTATTTTTTTCCTTTGCTGGTTTATTCACGTGTTCAGCAGAAGCCTAAAATAAATATCTTGCAAAAGACTTGCTGTTCCAGAGAAGTCATGTGTTATGCCCTGTGTGTGCTGGTATTAGGAATTTGAAATAAACAAACTGCCAAGAAACTGAGCTTTTCTACAATTGCAGAGTAAAGTCAGGACAGTTGGGCTGCTCTGTCGTGGTGAGAAGACTTCAGCTTCTCAAAGCAATTCCCTTGTTGATTCGTCTTTCCCCCATTTCTCAACAAGGCGTTACCTAAAGCAGGAGGGACGAAGCAGCGAAGGTGAAGCTCAGCAGCAGCCCCCTCCACTGCTAATGAATAAGTCACATATCGGGTAGATTTACATCCTCACTGCTGTCATTAAAGAGCTCATGAGATAGCAGAGGCCACTCATTGTAATTTGTGAATTCCAGGAAGAGGCTTGCTACTCTCACTGCTCGCACTGAAGGTCCATATAACAGAAGAAGCCACTGTTACACACCAGCCCTGCCCAGCACAAGTTTGGGAGAGGACCTTCACTCTCCCACTTCTGCTTAGGGAGGAAAACACTCAGGAGGTGCAGAATGGGTAAAATACTGCCACAGTTCAGTCAGACTACAACAAGAGGCTTTGATTGTGCCTTCTGTCAATGCAGCAGCTCAACCAACAGATGTAGAGAATTGCCTGTCACCGGGAACAAGTTGAGGAAAAAGCAAAAAAAACCCAATTCCCCCTACCACCACCCCAAACTGCACATTCTAGCAAATTGCAAAGCCTGAGGCACAGTCTGGGACGGTGAAGAGCCACAAGTAACCATCCTGCCTTTGTGCCTTGAAGAAATATGCAAGCTGCTAAGAACATTCGGAAGAAAGAGTATCATGGATTTATTGTAACAGAGCAGGTTAATCAAGATGCAGCTGGTGAAAGCCCAGAGCTTACACCACTCAGTCCCCTCCCCACCTCCACCTCAACATCTGAAGTTGAGTCCTAGAAATCCACCAAAGGCACAGGCAATACAAAGCTTTTCAAGAGTAATGAGTACTAGGGAGAGCTGTAGCAAAGAATGGTTAAAGACCAGCGACTATTTTCCTGCTGAACAATGACCCAGCAAACTGGGTGAGGCGGCTTTTGAACAAGTCTGAAGAGAAAATGCCAGAGCAAGTGGAAGGAGATACTAAAGGACCACAACAAAAAAGCACCTGTGACAAACTATTTCAGAAGGAAACAACGCATATGAGCTTTAGTTTGGGATTCACAGAGTGCTGCCAGGACGAACAGCACTTGAGAACTCATCCAAGACATATGAATGCCCACCATGCCAGGGGAAGGATAAGGGTGAATCAAGGAGAGATAGCGTGTCCCAGCTTTAAGACTGAAATCACTGCTATCTGTTTTCACAAGACAGCATACAAACCATATGATTTAGAAACATTAGCTGTGCACTACTGCAGCCCACCTAGCAAGAAAACCACCTGGGAGATGTGAAGACTTCCCACCCACCAGTGTCTCAGAGCGTGGTCAACTGTGGCTTTTGGTCACTGAAGCAGCTTGGTGGGAAAAATCAAACAGTTGCCCAGGAAAAGCCAAATCAACCACTTCACATCCATCAATTATCACTTCCCTGGCTGCAGCTTTGACTCATTACCAATCTCCAAAGAAACTGTGGTGAGCAACACCAGCCAGTTCAGTCCCTCCCTCAGTCTGTGCTGGGAGTACCCAGTGTACACTGCCATACCCCTGCCTGTTATCACCACTGTGTGCTTAGGAAGCCTGGGACCTGCCCGGGCTGCAAGGTGCACACGTATCCAGGAAACCTGCCCACAGCCAAGCCAGCCTGCAACACAACGCTTGCTCTCCACCCTCACATCTCTCGACCTGGCACGCACAGTATCCCATGTCTGGCTTCACAAATAGCTGCACCACAGTATCACCGCCTGGCCTGGCCCTAACCCTGTTTTTCCAAACCCTGAGGGAGATATCCCCACAGAAACCTTATCAGTAACATTGGCCTGGGGGAAGCACAGCTTGCGAACAGGTTCCCTTTCTCACTTTCCCCCCTAGAGACCTAGCAGAGCACCCCTTTAACTTTAGGCACTCCTAATTATCCTGACCAACCCACAGGTTCATCAAAGCCATGAGAATGGGCAGTATCATCAAACCATACCAATGTTTTTCTAAGTCAAATCTTTAAACACAGAGAAAGAAGAAAGCAACGGGTGGAGCTAGAAACCAGCATATCACCAGAGTGGGACAAGAGAAAAGTCACATTCAAATCCCTGCTTTTGTTTTTCTACTTAATAGTCAGTAAACACAGAATTTCTTACCTCTTGACCTTGAGGAGCCTCAGAAGTCATTTCCTCGCTGTTTGAGCTCTTATAAGATGCACACATTCAAAGGGAGGGGGGAAAGGCAGCAGGCTGGTGCGTTCAATGACAAGCTGCTTTGGCCATGTGGCTCCCATTAAATACACCACCTCCCACAGCAGCTGCTTTCAGAGAGGACACAGGTGCAGCCAAGAGAGCTGGAGCGTGCCAGGAAAATGGGGAATGCAAAGGTCTCAAAACCACCAGCAGCTGCTGAAAGCCCAAAGAACTTCAAGAGGGTGCCTGGGCACCCCTCTTCCCTTTGCAGTCTTTTCCACTAAGGCATGCTGGTGCAGATTAGGTTGCATTAAACTTTGTTAGGTCATTGAAGCACTAATTAATTGTAATTATATTGTGTTGCATGTCACTAAATACCAGTCTGGACAATCATTTCATTTTTTAGGAAGAAAACATTCATCTTTTGATGAATGTTTAACCCCTGTTAAACTCCTTTAGAAAGCCACTCTTTTCTAATCACAGAATGGTTAAGGAGGCTCCAGGAGGAGCCTCTGGAGATCATCTAGTCCAACTGCCTCACTCTCAACAGGGTCAACTACAGCAGATTGCCTGGGACTGCGTCCAGTCAGGTTTTGAAGATGACCAAGGATGGAGACTCCACAACTTTTGGACAAGCTGTACCAGTGTTCAACCATTCTCACAGTAAAAAAAGCTTTTTCTTATGTTTAAACAGAATTCCTTGTGTTTCAGTGTGTGCCCATCGCCTTTTGTCCTGCCACTGGGCACCAATGAGAAGAACCTGGCTTCATAAAAAAAAATCCCTACAGGTATTTATTTATCTACACTGATAAGATCCCTCCAAAGCCTTCTCTTCTCCAGGCTGACAGTCCCAGGTCTCTCAGCCTCGTTGACAGGTGCTGCAATCCTTTAATCATCTGAATCATTTTTACTATGTTAAATAATTTCTTTTAAATTGGATTGAAAATTTGCGTAGTTCCTTTTCCAGCTGTTGGTGTGGTTAAAATGACGTCTTCATGACCTTTGCTGGATTGCATGTTTGTTTCGTACTCTCTCGTTTGATTTTAATAGCTTCTGCCAGGCAGTCATCACCCTCAAGGAAACTATCAAGGCAGCTGAGGGCAAGAACTTAATTTACAAGTGAGGAACAACAAATATTGCTTAGCAGACTGTTACAATGCTTGCACCTATTTGAGTTGGACCTGACTAGCACACGGGCTGTATAAAACCAGATGTTTTAAAAGCACTAGCTTCATCAAGGCTAAGCAGGCTGATGCGTTCCCTTTGGGGTATGTTTCTCCAGGTAATAATATGGTTTTGGCCAACCGATGGGCCTGTCACTTCACTTCCTGGCTTGGGCAGATGTCTTGCATTTAACAGGGAATTCAGGCATTTGGATCCACCTCCCATTTAGAAATGAGAATGCATCCAGTTCTTTTCCGCCATTTGCCTGCGTTTTGTCTGCCTGTCAAAGCAAAATCACTTTCTGCATGATTTCTGCAAAATTTGCTACAAAGTTCCCTGCAGCATGGCCCAGGCAGTCCTGTAACACCAGTAGCAATGGAGACCTGTCGCATTCTTGGTGTTACTTTGGAAGACAAGTCACACCTTTGGTCCATTTTAGGTACCACCAAAAATACAAACCCCCTGTCATTTCTTGACTAATTTAATGCAGTTTGTGTTAATTGGCTTTCCTAGAAGATTTAGAAGCAAGAACCTTTATTCAACTTGACAGCCTTTGCCCCTCTTTGCTTGGTAAGGCCCATGACAAGAACTTCCATCCAGCAGTCAGACCAGCTGGATCTACTGGAAGGCGGCAGTCAGTAAGATTTTCCTGCAAGGATTAGTTAAAAGGCACCTGTGTAATCCAGTCTGTACGCTGGGATTACAAATTAATTGAAGAGATGGGGTACACCGATTTTGACGCATCACCACCTCAGCTGTGACTCTCATCGCACGTGCAAGCCAAGACTCAATGCAATTAAATTCTCTGTGATTACAGGAAAAAAGGTAATCCCTCCAAGTAGTTAAGTTCCCTTTCCTTCCTAATTTTGCAGTAACTGTTGGGGTCCTAACGCTCTGCTTCACTTTGACAAATCCTAACCTTTTCTTAATTAAGGGAGATTTTTATCACACTCTTATGGACTTTTTTTTTTTTTCCTGTTTTATAAAGCTTCCAGGTTGTATTTTTATGGAACCAAAATATTTTACTTTTGCAGAGCTCTACGGTTGTTAGCTTTCTTCTAACAGGAACAATTAATGAAATGAAACAGTGTTAGAAGAAGAAAGACCTTTCCACAGAAGAGGAAATACTTTTCTCACCCAGAATCTAGTCGATGCTCTGACTTTCCCCACAGGAAGTAACATCAGGCAAATAACACAGTTCCAGGCGCAGTGCATCTTGGAGGGGATATTAAGGTTTCACTGCTTCGGAGCACACATTTCAGCATGATTTGTTAAACCTGGATTTAATTCTGATTTACATCTGCTCCACCCTGTCCTGGATACACAGCTGTCCTATGTCACACACCATTCATTGGCACCTAAACACCATCTTTCCAATGCCATGTCTTCAGGCAGGTCATTTCCCACCTGCCAGACATCTAAAATAACAGTCTTAAGTTAAATCGCAATATATTTCTAGGTTTACTATATCCCAGGAAGATATACATAGATAGCGTGACTATATTTATTAATCCAAATGACAGCTTAATTCAACATCTGTAAATGCTGTATTGTCAAGATCTCTACCATGCAAGCATGTTTATGACCTGGATGAAGGGATAGAGTGGACCATCAGCAAGTTTGCTGATGACACAAAACTGGGAGGAGTGGCTGACACGCCAGAAGGCTGTGCCACCATACAGTGTGACCTGGACAGGCTGGAGAGTTGGGCAGAGAGAAGCCTTATGATGTTCAACAAGGGCAAGTGTAGGGTACTGCACCTGGGGAGGAATAACCCCATGCATCAGTACAGGTTGGGGGCTGACCTCCTGGAGAGCAGCTCTGTGGAAAGGGACCTGGGAGTCCTGGTGGACAACAGGATCACCATGAGCCAGCAATGTGCCCTGGCGGCCCAGGAGGCCAACGGCATCATGGGGTGCATCAAGAAGAGTGTGGCCAGCAGGTCAAGGGAGGGCATCCTCCCCCTCTACTCTGCCCTGGTGAGGCCGCATCTGGAGTACTGCGTCCACTTCTGAGCGCCCCAGTTCAAGAAAGACATGGATCTGCTGGAGAGGATCCAACAAAGGGCTACAAAGCTGATTAGGGGATTAGAAGATCTCTCTTGTGAGGAAAGGCTGAGGGACTTGGGTCTGTTTAGTCTGGAGAAAAGAAGACTGAGGGAGGATCTTATTAACGCTTACAAATACTTAAAGGGAGGGTGCCGGGGGATGGGAGCAGTCTTTTTTCAGTGGTGCCCAGTGATAGGACAAGAGGTAACGGGCACAAACTTGAACATAGGAAGTTCCATCTTAACATGAGGAGGGACTTCTTTACTTTCAGGGTGGCAGAGCACTGGAACAGGCTGCCCAGAGAGGTGGTGGAGTCTCCCAGTCTGGAGACATTCAAAACCTGCCTGGACGCCATCCTGTGCAACCTGCTGTAGGTGACCCTGCTCAGGCAGGGGGGTTGGACTAGATGGTCTCCAGAGGTCCCTTCCAACCCTGACCATTCTGTGATTCTGTTGCTTTAGAGTGGCAAAGATTATTGGTGCATTTGGTATTTGTTGCACAAATTGAACAGATGTGTAAGTCAGAAAACATAAATATCAGTAATCCTGCTATATGGGCATTGAGAAAAATAACTTTACAGAAGTCCTCGGAGAAAGGCAAAGGTATTTGAACAGGAGACTCCACTTAACATACTACAACCCAGTTCCAGCAATATATTCTGTTTCAAATCAGTAGTACTGTCTTGAAGAACAATTATTGTTTTGGGGTTTTTTTTGTTGGTTTTTTAAGTGTTTTAAAGTGCTTCCCAATGCGTGAAGAACAAAAGAACCATCAGCTGTTCAGAAAATGATATTTCATTTATTGTAAAGTTCCTGAAACAGTAAACACCTTATCAGAAGTACAATGAACTGGCACTATTTCTTTAAAATGTTGAACTGTCTTCCAGGAACAATACCTGGAATATTCATGAGAGATCTTAAGCCATGAAATACCTTGGCGCAAGGCCCACCTTTCTCCCTGTCCTCTGCCAGCACGACCAGCAGAGAATGGGCAGTTAATTTTTATTTGCATTTCCCACCTAACAGCTCAAGATTCACCTGGTAGATTGGAAGCTGGAATTCAACCTTTCATATTTGGGGACCCTCAAATGAAATATGTAAGAAACGAAACAAATCATAATGCAAATTCAGCTTTGGACCAAAAAAAAAAAGGGGGGGGGGATTATTTTATAGAACTTTTAGTTTAATGACTACAAACTCTATAGCCTCTTGCTTAAAGAGGTGAATGTAGCAACAAGATGAGACAAGGCTTTGCTTTCAACGAGATGTTTGCTGTTTATTCCAACAATTGCAACAGAGGCACAGGCCTCTGTGGCACCCCCACCTATCAATAGAGTTCTTTTCTCTTGCATCAGAACCACAGAAATAACAATTCTCCAGCAATTTCTAAGAACACCTGCCCTTCCATCCCTTCCAGCTTCCCGCATTCAAGCGGCCAGCAGGGGCCCAGTCTGGAGAGCGGGGACAGGGAGCACTGCCCACAGGGGCTGAGGGGGTGATTCTTTCTCCACAACCACCCGCTTTTCCCCACAAACACTTTAAGGCATAAGCAGCTTTTTTTCAGATGAACTGCGTATGTCCATGCAGTCCTCTGTATTCACAGAGCTGCAGAAAACCAGCTCTTCTCCACAAGCTAGTGGGTTGTTCCTAGTCTTAATGTGTTACTTCATGAGTAACTAAGCCTCTCAAAAACATTACCCCCCTTTCTGCAGCGTAGGGTAAGAATTCCTCATTTACAGCTTTACCCACACGTACAGTGGAACAGAAATAGCTTCAAGTGTGTAGGACTGGTTGGTAGTCCTCCAGTTAAATGTTAGAGATTTTTTTTTCCTATTATAGGGCCAATCTAAGATGCCTTGTTTGTAACTTATACTATTAAGCTTTCACAACTTTATACAAATTCTTAATGATGTTAAACACTGTACAAAACCACCTTAAGGCACAAAAAGTTAAACAGAAATGCAGCCCACTCGAAGTCTCAAAGCAGCCAACTCAAAAGAAACTGGCCTTGTAGTAAGCACATAGTTCATTTATACACGTTAAGCTTCATTGCCATACATTAAAAACAGTAAATATAGGACCAAATGTATGCTGCTCAGCATCTACTCTTTTTCTTTAGTACTGATCCCCATCTGAGACAAGATCTGTGGTTACAAATAGGAATTGAAACAGCTTACAGGTCCCTCAAATGATTTGCTTTGAGCAACCAGGAGCTATTACACTTCTAGGTATGCAGATACGTAAAATTTGCTTTGTAAGGGTGGGATGTGAACATGCTTCAACCTCAGTGCTTTGCTCAACTTTGTAAAAGCAAGGAAGTATGGGTGGGAAAAAAAAAACCACAACAAAATGGCAGCGAGGGAAACTGGGAGGAATTTTTATCTTGCAGAAATGAATTACTTAAGTTAACGTCCCTCCCCCAAGCAAACTGTCTTGGACAAATGACTGAACAGTAAAGGAAAGATGCCCACAGAGTCCTGTCATGCTCAAAAACTCTGAAACAGATCAGCATTGTAGGTAGTAACACAGCTACCATCCACCTCCAGAGATGCCCTGATGACAACGATTCTGTTGGCTCAAAGATTCTCATTTAACTTCTACTAATGGCCAGCCAGAGCTATGCAAGAAAACCTTGCACAGTAGTTTCTCAGTAGCAATCTGTACGTTGTCTACAGGAGAGAAATGAGTCATTTGCTGGTTTTCCCCCAGAGTATGAAAGGCATCTCTGCATTACAATATAAAAACACAACCAAACTCAATTATTCAAGTATATTGGATGTTTTCTTATATGAAGGTCTTGAGGGAGCGAGAAGTTGCCCTACCTGCATCAATATTCAATATATAATTCCACAGGGTAACAAGCCTGATAGAACAGTTTAATTTAGGTGCAGTTTTTCTGATGTGGCTTCAAGTGAAGGCAACCAGACAGCTGGCAATAAAGCCTTATGGAAAAATAGTCACTGCCCTATTCAGTGTCACACTGCTGCTTTCCAGTTTGCTTCTGTACTAGCATTTTTTTCTCCCACCCTTACAGCCATACCAGTCAGATCACCCCAGTACCTTTTATGTTATTACTAAGCCATTTACCTTTTCTGTGAAGGAGGAACTGTAACATTAACACAGAGCACTGAACTCCTGTTCACTCAAAGATTAGGAACGTTCTTGGTACAATTGAAATATTAGGAAAGTTTGTAGCAACATGGAAAAAAAGGAAAAACTAGCGTAACAGTTTCTATTCATCATTTTATAGCAAGAAAACTTTTGTCAGGGTTTATTATAAAGGAACAGCATAAGGAAACCAAATAAATAGTTGAATAGTTAACAGTATGCAATATAATAGTACTAAACTTCAATTACATAAAAATTAAACTTTGGAACAGCATCAATATGAAAGATTTTAGAAAACTAGGACTCAGTCCAAGATCCTCAGACCTGTACACTGCAAAAACCAGTCAATTTTGATACCCAGTTGGTCCCAGCTTTGTCCTCTGAGGGACCGTGTCAATTGAGAACCGTGACCCATCTGTATGGCTCCCTAATCCCACTCTGCCCCATCATACACATGCTGTTTGGAATTTCCAAGTGTCTAAGGGAGAGTGATTGGGCAGCATGAGGTATGAGTTGTGCTTCATTGTTTCAGAGGAAGCAGTATCTCCTTCCTCATCTGATAGCTATATTGAACAAGGTTATGCAATTTAGCCTAAGGATGCTTCTTTCTTCCTTAAAGCAGCAGTTAGAGGAACAGAAAGAAGGCAGCAATGACCTCATGCTCCCAGTAAAACCCCAGCTGGGTTCTCTGTGTGTGTGTGTGTAATCAAGGGCTGATTTATCATTAGTTGGACAAACTGTCTGATCTAAAATGGTGAAGTCAGTGGAGAAAACTTGAACAGAGCTACATCAGACCCTCTGTTATTTTCTTCCCCTCATCAACACTGTGCAGTCACACTGAGCTGGATTCTATTAGCACACCTCACCCAACACCGGAGGGGAAGGGTGTGATCTCTGCTGGCCCTCAGGAGTGACTGACTTGAGCAAATTCATCACACTCTGGAGCGGGACTTAACTGTGCTTCCAAATAAAGAAGTATCACCACTATGATCTGGAATTGTTTCACTGATACAGATTTCTTCACGTGTGGGACACATGCATCTCTTGCTAGAGAAGCACAGCTCACTTTGGCTATATGCCAGGCGAGTCTGGGTCTTTGACTTGATGTAAACTTAGAGAAATATATACACAGTACAGCTTTGAAATCTGTATGTCAAACCAGTTGATCAAATTCTTCCCTCATACAATTTTTAGATCAGTAGATAGTTCCACTGAAGTCAGGAGTGCTAAAAGGTGTTTGAGGAAAACCCAGCACTAAATATTTGCATTAAATGCCAAAACATATCCTAAAATATTCCTCTTGACATCTGTCACTGAAACACTTCCAATGTCTACTTCTCCAGAACACTGGAACAATTAACAAAAACTCTATCAAGCAACAAAAAAACGAAAGCAAGAAATAAAAATTACAAACAAAAATAAGCTTTTATCTTTGTTAAATTCCTGTCAGCCACTTGAAATCTTGTTTATCTGTTCCATGAAATTAAAAACTTGGCACATTTTCCTTGGATGCCATTTATCAACTTTTTTTTTTACCTAGAACATTTATTGCATATCAGAAATTCACTTGGCTAGGATATTTGTTTAGTAGAAAACTCTGCCTTCCAGTTATAGCTATGAAGCTCCACACAGTTCAGTAAATGAATTCTCCTGGTATATCTTGCAGCAATGGTTCCTCAAATTTAAATCGTTTGGAAATGGCTTTTTGCTCAGTTACTTTTTCTTTTTCTGACTGCCTACATTGTCCCAGCGTATATGAAGCCACTACAATTAGTTCTTCTGTCACTATGGATTCTTCCTCTTCAGTCTTCTCAGCATCTACTGATTTTTCAGAGGCAGAATCTGCATCTTTCTGGGTGACATCACTGGTCTCTCCTCCTGTACTCTTATTCCAGGCCCTGCAAGCAGGATTATCACTTTGTTCCAACCATGGATGTTGAAGACATTCTTCAGCGGTTGCCCGGTCCCTGCAGAGGAAGGAGAGCGTTAAAATAAATGTCCAAATGAATTTGAAATCCAGTACCTTGCAGAAGAGATCCATATAAATTATTCCAAGGATATGACTGTATTAAAGACAGATTGATAGAACTTCTTTTAGAAGTGCTGATAGATACCTTTTACCAAAAAAGACCAACAGCAGCCCAAGGAGATGAGCTGCCAACATTTAAAATAAAGTTCATAGAACCTTAAATATCACAGTTTATGCTCCCATGTTTCCAACAAACTTTCAAAGTTTATACAGATTATTTTTTTTTCCCATATAGAAAATTATCCAATCCTTACATTCTTAAAGAATTCCCATAGACAAGCAGTAGGCATTTTCAGTAGTTGACATGCCCCATGAAGAACTGGAAGTTACACAGAAAACACCTATTTTGAGACCTGGAATTTCCAATTTGCTGCCCATTGAAAAAAGCATACTAATGAACCAGAAAAGAGTAAGGTACTCTACCAACTCATCAAAAGTAAAAGGCACTAAGCACAGTTCATTTAAAAGACATCAGCAAGGTACCTGTAAAGAAAGTCAGTATACTGTACCACATGCTACAATTCATATACAGTTTTCTGAAATGAGTTTGAATTTTAATTACTAACTCTTGGACACATGCAGAACATGCAAGTTTGGAGGGAAATGGAGAACTTCTCTTTTCATATACATGAAAAATAATAGCACAAAAATATGAATAATCAAAGTTCCCTTACACTTTAAAAATGAAAATTCCAGCACTCGCTACATTTAAAATGAATCCAGTAAGACATATTAGCATATACAATCATGTATTTTACTTACTCAGGTTTCTTCACCAGCAGAGTTTTGATGAAATCCACAGCAGACTCTGATATGAGGTCAAAGTCTTCTCCAGAGTAACTTACGTTCATTTGAGATATATTTAAGAATGTTTCTTGTTTATCATCCCCTAAGAAAGGCGATATCCCTGTTAGCATAACATATGCCAGTACTCCAATGCTCCTAAATTAAAAGTAAAGAACAGAAAAACATTTTAGTGTTTGTTTTTTTTTTTTTTTTTAAAAAAAAACCCTTTACAGTAAAGTAAGTTATAATGACCATTAATTTGTTCAACTTACCACATGTCAGTTGCTGTACTGATTGGGTCATAACTCAGAATTTCAGGAGCTATTCAGGGGAAAAAAAAGTTCTATTTTGGTCATATGTAGACATAATACTGTAGTTATATAGTGCAATAACGGGCATGTGGTAAAATTCGTTATAAGCCATTTGAAGCATGACAGTCTTTTGAAATAGAGATATTTCTATTCAAGTTATTTAAGTGATTACTATCATTCATTGGTTTTATGCAAAACCAATTGTTTTCCTTTTATTGTTCTCTTCAGAAGCCAGGTCAGTCTCTTCCCCAATTAAGGAAGACATATACAAATTTCTTATGGAAAAATGAGAATTATCCAACAGTCCATATTCCAGCACTGAAACCAATACCCATATATACTATACAACTTAAAGATACTTTCAAGTACATTTCCAAGGCTTGGGATGATTTGCCTTATAAAAAAATAAATGTATACAAACCTTTACAAACTAACATATTCAGTCTCTGTATATGAATAGTTATTTCTAAACTTTTAATCCAAGTAGTACTTGTTATCACTGCTTGTAAGAATCATCTAAAGTGCGTACTCATCTTCAACACAAGCACACAATCATCATCGCTCATTAGACTGGCAAGGCTTGCCAGTTCTGGCTTTTACAGCAGTACCACATCCAAGTATTAACCTGATCTTTTCAACACAGTAACTACACAGCCAGCCTGCCATTCACTAAGTTGAGACAGTTTCTCTTTTCACTCCACCAGAGCCTGGACAGCCCCCTCAGGGCTACATCACTTATATAGTAACAACTTACCTACGTATTCTGGAGTTCCCATAATTTCTCTTAGTTCCTCACTGCTCTTCATTATTCTGGAAAGGCCAAAATCTACTATCTTAATGTCTCCCAGAGGAGACTTACTGGTTAGTAGAATATTTTGGGGCTGAAAAACAAGAGGAGGAGACTATCAGGAACTCCTAAATCTCCTGAGACCATATTACATAATTATTTGAGATCACGAGTAGCAATATTGCATTCCATAACAAGTACGATACCCAGGATCATTTATTTATTTATTTGTGGGGTTTCCTCCCCCAAGGTGAACTTGAAGACACACGTAGGCTAGAATGAGTGGCAGGATTTTCTGTTTATAACTGAGAATCAAACATCTACCTTTGTTAGCTTAGAACACATACAAAAGACATGCGAGTAGCTATCATTTAACAACAGCATATAAATACCTCCACATTGTACCTTTAGTCCTTCATATCACTTTTTTTACTCCTTTCTCCTAGCTTCCTTCCAATAGATGGTGTAAAATACCTCCTGTGGATGTGCATCCAAAAACACCCAATCATTTTAAAAGACCTGAACACATAAAACTATTTTGACTACACCTGTTTAAAGAAAGTCTGTTGCAACTGACCTCAATCTTGTTCAAAGTACAAATAATTGTATTACAGAATACTAACTGAAGAACAGTTTAAAAAAAATACAGCAGCCTGAAAAACAGGTTTTTAAGAGCATCACCTTTGGATAAACTTGTTTGCTCTGACGTCACTAGATCTTGGCTGTCATCCTTCAAAGCAGCTTTGTGGTCATTAAGAAGTTCCTTACCATCTACTTTGAATGTTAGCTTGGTTAAAAAAAAAATAAATCTGAAAACTAACTTTAGACAACAGGTCTTAGAGATTTTTTTGTAAATGAAGCATATCCTTGCAAAAAAAAGAAGTGTAACCCTCCCTGCCCCCAGGCCAGTGATCACACTGAGTTCTAACATTAACTTCTCCGAGTGGTAACACTGGCAGTTGACACTATTCATGCCTCTGATGAGCACAAGTTCCATGAAAGTGAAGCCTGCCTTTATTGAGAACCTGGATTGTCTTGCATCAGGGGTGGTTAAAGACGAAGGAAGGCAAAAGAATAAGAACATCGAAGCAACCACTGACTGATAATCCAACTGGATGAACTCCAACTTTTATACTTTTTCCCTACTCACTGGGCTGTGCCCTCCTCATCCCCTAGTCAATCACGAAGGCATGCTTTCACATGAACAGCCTCGTTTTTGAACACAGAAATAAAACTGTGCGAGAACCTTTTAGAAACCTCGTGCTCATTCTCCTTGCTGCAAGACCTAAATATAGGCAAGTTCTTTCATTCCTACAAAGTTAAACCATAGTATTTCAAACTAACTCCATGATGTTGTCAATCTATTTTCTGTTTGTAAATCTACATAGTAACAACAGCCCTTTTTTTTTTTTTTGCTTACAAACTGAGATCTGGTGGCTGTACAAAGGCTTTTGGAGCTGCACATTACCATACCCTTTATAGTTCACATTTGTTATTCTGTATTTGTATTAAAAAAGCAAACGTCCAAAAATGCTGACCATGCCTCCCTAATTAGCTTCTCAGATGTTCTTCCCAGTGGGAAATTTAGTTACTTTCTGAAGAGGCAAATAGAAAGCATAAGAAAAGCATTTGTTCTCTATATTTAAACAAGGAAGAGTTTAATGGAAACATTTCATGAAACCCTTGAGCCCTGTATTATAATATTTTAGTAATGTAGTTGCCAGAAGTTTTTGTCGTTTTTTAAAAAAATCTTATTACTCAAAACACACCTATGCAGAAAAAACCTGTCTGCAGTATGAATTGAGCCATGAACCTAAATCAATTCATAATGAAATATCAGTTGTTTTCTTCTTTTAAGGCATCATTATGGGGTTCAAGTGAAATGACAGTCTAAACACAAGTGTGAAACCTTAAAGAAGCCATAGCTTTGAACATACCATAGTTTTCAGCGCCACACAATTACTCTAAAGCTTTGAGAAAAGGAAGATAATTTTCCCACATCTGTACAGCTTTTTCTCTTTTGTTTTTCCACTGTTATAATACATCTAGGTTTGCCTAATGGCCATTAGCCCACAAAGGCAAGAGAGACACAGGCCACAGGCTCTCCTGGTAGTCGTTCTGAAGAGGGCCTTTCACTTTTACCATCAAGCATTAATGAAATGGTAACTGTCAAATGGCAACATTTAAAAGCCTCCCCCTCTACTGCAGTAACACTTAAAGGTTCCAATTTAGATCCTCTTATGTTGTGCACTGAACAAAAACCTAAAAAAAAAAAATCCTGCCTAAATGGACAGTCTGAATGGATGTACTTTACTGCAAGATTGGTATGTGCACAGAAACCACATGATGTGGCCACATGAGTCTAGCCCAATGTCACATTCGCATGGCCAGAAACAGGTACCTTTGGAAAGATTATAAAAACAAGAAAAAAAGTTGTGTATTTCCAGTCATATTGTCAGCAGAAATTTGGGGTTTAGGAATTTGAGATTTTTGGTTATACCTGTATCATCACACTAGAGTAACAGCGGTGAAAAGCATCATTTGCCAATGCAAGTACTAGCCAGTAACATTTTCCACCTAAGTTGGACTAAAAAGAGCATAGCTTTCTTGGCACTATGAACTTCAGTGCAAAGGCCGAAGTAAATGCAATATATACAAAGATCTGTTCTCATGTAGAAACTCTAGAAACTTATTCTGCAAATCACACAAATAGTTTGTTGCAAGTGTACTCAGTAAAATGGGATACCTACCCTTCAACCCTACATTGCCAGCTGGTTTTGGAATCTTGTAAACTGACTATACAACGGCAAAATCCATATATTGCAAATTTGCTATTTCAGGAGTTTCTATGAACCTATGGCCCTAATGTTTCTTGTATCTTTAGTTGATAGAAGAATATGACTAAGGACACATAATAAAAGTCATGTTTTTAAACTAATCAATGCCTTACCTTAACCTGCAACATTAAGTATCTAATTTTATAATACTGTAAAAAAAGAAAAATCAGATCCCTAGAAGACAGGAGTTATCCAAGGAACAGTGGGCAGAAACAGGAAAAAACAAACTACCCAAGATATACCACCTACATTGTGTGTAAATATACTAAAGCAGGCTAATCAGTTTGTCCAAAAAAACCTCAAGACTCCCATATCTTTAAGCAATTGAAATGTAACAGCATAATTTGCTTGGGGGTTGGGTTGTTTTGGTCCATGTGTACAAGCGGAAAAATGCAACAGTCACTAAAAGAATACACATATTAGACTGGCATCACACTTTACTCCACAGAATAAGCAATGCAAGTCTCTAAGAAATAAGTCTATAATCAAAAAAGGTTTGTAGAACCTGGATACTCTATACCTGCCTGTTAATAAACAGCTTTGCTCTAATCACTATAAAGGTTTGAACTCCAGACTAAATTGTTCTTTTGCCTTGAAAAAAATAATTTCATTTTTAACTCTTTTCTTAATTTCCTGGGTGTTCCTTTAGACAAAGAATACTATGCTTCTCAGTACTACAGTTCTGTGTAATAAACATTCCACCTTAATCCACCCAGAAAACTCAGTTGAGAAAATTAATCTAATTTTTTAACACACCAATTCTTTTGTAATTGCATTAGCTTGCTTTCTGAATATTTGTGTGAAATGACACTCTAAATTTCAAACAATGATTTTGCTAGTTGTCTTCACTGTACACAACACGTTGAAAACAATATAGAAAGAAAAGAAAGTTGTCTGCTGGATAACCAGTGTAATATATAGCGTAGGAGAGTGCTGCTTGGAGCAGTCATTCTCCCAGACCCAAGGGCTATATAAGGCTCTTGTGTACAGTGGAAGTAGGTAAAAAGACAGCTAGTCCTTCCTCAACCCCCACGCCTTTTTAAATTCTCTTCCATTCCAAACTACTTCAAGCTTTTACCAAACACCACTTCAAGACCAAGTCAAACAGCAAAAACATGGAGAAAGGAGTCTTCCCTTACTCTGCAGCTTTTATGTACCACTAAGAGGAGATGAAAGACTCCTGACTAGAATCTATGCACACCCTGCAAATTAAATAGCATCAACACAACACTGTCGAGTGATATTTAATTTGCACACAGTAGCTTTATTATTTGCTCTTTCTCCAAGTCAAAACTGGATTACATGATTGTATTTTGCTATTAAAACCAAGCCATTTTTCAACCATCTTTCAGGAGAACCATACTTTTGGAAAGAAATTGTCAAGTGGCAACCCTGCTAGGCCACATCAAAATACCCCATTTTTCTGCAGTGTTTAGTCTCATAGGAAAAATCTTGCATCTATTAAGGGAGCAGACAGAAGCTAAAGCAAGCTAGCTGTCAGTGTCATAGATCTGGTTGGTTAGATTTGTAATACAAAAACTACAACAACAAGCTGACAATCACATACTGACAACCATTTTGACGTAAATTCTTCCAGTCACGGAGCCTGACTTTTTTGAAGGTGCAACACAGGAAAATTGGATGGACCTTTCCAAAGGTATTTGTACCAGACAAATGAAAGGGAAACTTTTAGAGACCCAAATGTGAAACCAATAGCACAAGGAAAACATTTTAGCAAGTATTTGTAAATTTTTTGGTATTGGCAAACACCTTGCTTACCAGCAGTACACTTTGCACAAGTCTTCCTAATGTAGCCTCACAAAACTAAGTATTTAGTAAATTCTGTAGTGCTGTAAGCACTAGGTAAAGCAACATGAGCCATACTATACAACAGAAGATGGTTTGAGGCCAGGGGGTTAAGAAACATACAGCCAAAACCAGCATCCAACTTCAAATTTTAGTTCCTTGAAAAACAGGCTTTTTTTTTTTTTAAGTCTTGCAAAGGCTGTGGGTCAATCAGTGTTTGCAACATTTGCAAGTCACTGTTTTTAATCCTACAGTTTCCATTATTATTTGCCAATATTTCGAAGACTTCCCTAAACCTTATTTTGCAAAAAACTAATAGTCTTATATAGTACATAAGTAATCACACTGCAATTAAGACTCCTTTTAAGATCCACTTTTCAAAAACACATTGCACACTGCAGTAATGTATAAACATATTAAACACTGGACAATTTGCTCTGCTAATTAAGTTTTGTAAGCCAGCAAAGCAATGCTGGATCTTTTACTGAGAACTGAGGATGCTCACTTTTATAACAAGTTTTCTGATCAGTTAGAAAGAGTTTGTAAGTGAGCTTTTCCTGAACTTTGAAAAAGCTACCTGTCAGCAAGCTGTAATCAACACCCCAGTCTACTTTCGCCATTAAGAAAAGTACTGTAGTCAAATAAACCACAACACATTTCTGATTATAGACACTCAGCTGATAGTGCTCAGGAACACCACAGCTTTAAATACAAACATGCATAAATACATACTGTTCACAAAAGACATGCTTTAATTTTACACACTTCGCTTCAGGTAAATTCAACAGAAGTATTTTTGGCCAACACAGTAGAGACACCAAGTCTTTAAGGAATTCTAGCAGCTCATTTTCAGTCCTTCTGAGCACTTACTCTCACATCACTTGCTAAATTTTTTTCATTAATTATTTAAGTACAATTATTAATACTGTATGTGTATGACTAAGTCAAGGGGCTACAGAAAGTTTTAAAGGATACCAGAAATAATTTGAATAAATGGTGGGAAAACCAGGCAGGTGAGATCTGTGTGCAAATATTATTCATCATCTGCTTTAGCTGATGAATGGTGCATGATGTGCTAGGTTATATATTAAGTATGTACAGCTTGATACTGGAATCTACTGGTAGCTTTGTACCACTGCCGAAATGCAATTAAGTGTAATTAAGGCTCTCAGCAACAGAACAGAAGCAGCATGTAGCAGCTTGCTACATACTTAGTAAATATGGGAATCGGACATGTAAAAGACAATTTGAAAATTTTAATGCAAGATACTTCATTATTACGAAGCAAGGCATTATAAAGAGTAGTTCAACCTCAAAATGAGATAAAATTGCATCTTCCATATGAGTATGAACAGAAGCTGAAGAAAATTATTTGCACCTTGCTGCCAATGGAAGATGATAGTTTTCTGGATCCCTGTTAAAACTCCCTCCTTAACCATAAGTGATACTCTGGATTTTGTCTGACTACTTTTCTCTTGCTTTGAGTCAAAACTATTTGCAGTAAGAAAAATATTTACTCCAGTAAATCATGATAATTGATATACCAATAGGGTGGTGGCCAACTAGTTGGCAGTAAATGACAAACATTTAAATTAAGTTTTACAGTAATTAAAAAATAAATATTTACATGTATTTATAAATATATATTTATATTGTAAAATATAAATATATTTAACACATTAATATACTCTTTACCAGTCCTAAATGTGCACTTCATTCTGAAACATTAAACTTCATACTACTAGTGTCTCTGCCATCCTTCTGCTTCATTAAAACTCAAGTCAATACAAAAACTAACCTATTTTTAATGGCCACATAATACCCAGACATTTATACTGCACTTTAAAATGAGCCAGGTCTTACCTAAAGTACTGATTCACAATTTAAGGTGCAATGCAAGTCCACTTTTGACTTTATTACATTTCACTTAATCAAACGAAGTTTAAATTTAACATAATCACAGAAACTCCCCAAAAGGATTGCAACCCTGGTGGCTACTGCATCTCAAAGTTGAATGTTACCATCCAAGGAATAACTAAGTAACAACTGTGTTATTTACAAATTAGCATTAGTATGACATATAACCAATAAGAATGTCAGCAGCTAAGAAATTAATGAGAAAAATACAGCAACAATCTTACCTTTAAGTCAAGATGAACCACATTGTTTCTGTGCAAGAATGAAACTCCTTCTAAGATCTGCTTCATAAGTCGTTTAACATCTTTTTCTTTGAAGGCTTCCTCTCTTTCAGCCACGCACTGGTCAAAGATTTCACCTCCAGCAGCACTATGGAACAATATGAATTTTATTATTTCAAAGACTAAGGTATAGTACCCATTTTGTTCTGGCTGCACTACTTTATTTAGCATAAGCAAGATCAGCAGGCAGTAGCATCCAATACTGATATTTTCAGTCATTAAACATTTGGCAAGCTTTTACAGCCTAGGAAGACTTCTCTGCAGTAAGACAGCTTTGGAGAGAAGCTAAGATCTTAGCCATTTACATTAGAGAATATGAATACTACAGAAACTTTTGGAACGATTTTGAAAATACTACTGACTATGCTTTAAGATTGATGTTACATTTGTTTGAGGGCAATGTTTACATAAAAGGTGTGCCTTTTGCCATTCTTATGAAACTACATGGAAATTTGGCCAAGGTAAGCCTTTATAAACATAAAACAAAACAGCCCCACTCCCAATTCTTCCCAAAACACTTTACATTTAATCTTTTGAGTATGTGCAAAGTTTATAATTGAATTGTTTGTGAAGTCTCTGGTATACAGGGATGCATTAAGTTTCTAAACGGCTTTCATCTAAAAATACTTTTGAAAATTTTAGCTCTCAGCTTGCTTCCTTATCTTTTGCCTGTATATGTTTAATAACAAAAAATATAAGAATAACTACAGATGAATGAATGTTTTTCAAATATTCTGAGGCTACATGCAGCTGCAACATGTACAACATAACTATGTAGCGCCAAGAGTAGAAAGAGAGCAGAGGCTCCATCTTGAAACAAGCATGGGCATAAGAACATCAGAACAGAATCATTTTGCATATGGATTGTTGAATTACTACTGAGTAACATATAAATGAAATCAATACATACACACTTTGTTCTGCATGAAATTCTGTAATTAGCCCTTCTTAGTGAGAGATGGTGAAACCCCCGAGGACAGTATCTTCTCCAGTTACCCAAAACTGTGACTTGCCAAACCTGACTTGGCACAAGCATTAATCTTTATTGATGCATAGTCATCTATTCTACCTCTGCTTGCTCTTTTCTAATAAATTGTATTATCTAGGCAATCCAGAAGACAGAGGCACATTCAACAAGGATGTAACAGCAGATCAGAGTTCTACAAAAATGGTACATTTGGATTATGCACCCTCATAACAAGAACACTTAAATATACTCAAATTTTCATTTTGCCTATACTTAGATGCTACAGTCCTAGTATCTTAAAATGCCTCATGGTTTATAAAAGTTTTTTGCCTTCCCCAATATTCTCATTACTGTTGTTTAAAATTCTCCCCACAGATTGTCTTACAAGAAAAAAAAATTTAAGACGATTACATCTTAACTTTTTCTACAGTTTTATATTTCTGTTCTATAGGCTTGCTAACCAGTAGAGCAGTACAATTTGATTTACTAAACTAAAATTTTCTTTTAAAAAAAAGAGAAGTCCATTAAATAATTCTCTTTGATACAGGGTGAAGAAAATAGAGTTCAAGAATAAAATTAAAGGAGTATTAATACTTTAATTCCTCTAGAAAACTTGCATATGCCTGACACTATCACATCTTTCTTCAGCACATTTATGTGGAAAAAGATAGTAATATTTCAGCTTTTAACAGATTCAAATATTAATGGTATTTTTTAAATGGACACGGGATAATGTATTTTAATATTCTAAAACAAATTCCTTTAAAAAGCAACATTAATTGTTACTATGACTTCAAGATATGTATAGAAAAACATCTACTGAAATCAATAAAATTAAACTCTCTACTTTAAGAATGCCATATGGTACTTGGAAGAATGATTTAATTCCTTATAGAGTAAATTACAATGCACATACAGTGATAAGATCTACTACCAAAATTACTAACACGATGTATTTTACAGCAACAACCCTGGGATTTTGCTGGTATAGTTCTGCCACTTAAAATAAGCAAACAGTACTTTTGCTATTTAGTTCTGTGAAATAGGATTTATGCCCCAAAACTGCTGTTGTCAACCAGGAATCACACTTTCTTTTTAATAGACCCAGCCAAAAAACTGGCAAAGGGGGAGCCTTATAAAGCCCTGTTTGCTATACGTCTACTTGGTAGACATCTGGTACAATTAAGTTACGCTAATAAACAAGTTAACATTGAAGTAGGCACCAAGGTAAAATGTAAGCTACCTAGAATTTTAATACTACATGTAAAACAATGAATTAAATGTGTTAAAAGTCAAGGCAATAGAAGTTGAAGCATACAGGGTCCCATCCCTGAAATCAAGAGACAGCACTACCCAACCATATGAGAGAATAAACCCCTGGACCAAGAAAACTTTTTTTTGAACAGGTATTTAAGTACTTGTGAGGATGTCTACGCTTATCAGTGTTTTTAAGAGCGAGACAAGCAAATACAGCCCTTACACATACACACCCACTTCATGACTTATGAAACATAGCCATTCCCAACCACCACAGACAAATACACTTAGCTTTACAAAAAAATTTCTCATGGAAAGATTTCATGCAAGGTTTCATTTTTTGATCAACTATGCTATTAAGGATGCAGATAGAACACCTTCTTTCAGACAATTCATTCTATCCAAAAATTACTACATTCAAACAAGTAACTAGTGACCCTTTACAAGAGTATGGGGAAATCTGTTACTGCAAGACTATTTTGTGTATTGTTGCTGTGGATTGATTCCCTTTAGCAAAACAGTCAGCCAGTGTGAGCCAACCCAGTCACAAGTGGTTGGAAGTACAATGTCAAAATGAACGCCAAAAAGAATCTCTCGCACATCTATGCCAAGTTTTGCCAAGCTCCTTAACAATACTTTCAGCTCAGCTATTTTGTATTCCCTAGCTAGAGTTCAGGGAAAAAAAAAAACTTAATCAAAATGCAAAAGGGATTATAATGCCTGCTAGGAAAGTATTATGGGCACATCATTGCTATGATTTCCATATACTTGTAGAGCAGGAGTTCTCTGGTGTTTTTAACATTTACTCATTTTTCCTCCAGAAGCACATCTTCCGTTAAGCTGTAGCTTTTCTAATGGTCATTATGAAATAACAGCTTTACAAACCACTGGGCACCCCCACCCACCTCCACAGAAAATGTTTCTACGGGATAAAAGCAAAGAATTGTTCTTAGAATGCCATATGTTACTTGTCTTTAGGAAAACAAACCATCTTGATCTGAAAAAAAATGGATAAGGAAATATTTAAGAGCACAACATTTTGAAATCCAGTGTTACTTAGGACACATTATTTCACTAGTACACGCTCCCTTAGCGTACAAAAAAACCTACGAGACATACAAATTCTTTCCAAACTTAAAAGCTACAGCAGTCAGAATTCTTTACTATTTTGTTTACGAAAGTACTGATGTGCTATTAACTCCTGTGTAGTTTCAAGTAAAATCCAACTGCTCTTCATCAATGAAAAGCATGCTAACATTTTATTACTGCTTATCAGTATAAATGAGCTAAAAGTCAGTTGGAAGTCTGGAGCATTAATCTTGGTTACAATTATGTTGACTTTATATTCAATGGAGACTGCTTATCTTCCTTCAAACATACCTTAACAATACACAGTACAGAATTCAGCATCCTACTTCTTTCAAGTGCACTTCCAATACACTACCACAGTCATTTAGTGTATCCTTAGAAAAAGACTGAACAAACCTATTTCAGGGCATCTGAAAAAACTAAAACTCCCAGCTTTAATGGATCAGACATTAAGACAGTCTTCTGAAACTCAGGAGTACAAATCCTCAGAGTGCATATATGTTGATAACGAGTTCCAAGAACACACTTAATTTCAAATGCTGAGTGAGACCATATACAGTCTGCAAGGGCACAAAATTTACTTCCTGGATCTTGCGCTCTGTCAAACATCTTTCTTGAAAAGGTTATCTTTGGAAGATAAATGGAAACTCAACTGCTTTCTGTATACAGCTTATATTACAAGATGATCACACAAAGGTGGTTGTAACAGTATCAACAAAAGTTCACATTCACTACTGCTGACACTCATAACCCCCCCTTCCTTGGCTAGGCATACCAATAGATTGTAAGCAAACAAGCAAATTTACTAAGAATTTTTCCAGTGTAAGGCTACCATAACATACCAGTGTGCCCAAAAACTGAGAAAAACTGTAAATTCGTATCTGAAAAGAGGACACACGGGAAGAGAAGTGTCCAAATGCACTAAGCGGTAGATACTGTTCTTTTAAGTTCTTGGTTCTCAGACAATTTTTTTTTTGTCTTGGCCCTTCCAAGCAGGCAGCCCAAGAACTGAATGAAATGCAAACCGAAGGAAACTAACACCATTTGAGAAGTTTTCCCCTAAAACTTTTTAAAGAGCTCCAGTCTTGATTTGAGACTGCTATCTATAGCATTGTTAATTACTCTAATAGACAAGATGCAAACGTTGGAGCAACACAGTTATTCCTGATTACAGTGGTTTTGCTTCAAGTTCTGTCTGTTGAATCCCATGCCAAATGAATCATTTCCTGCTACCAGACTCCTACTTTAACCGGTCACACCTCCAGTAAATACTGTCCAAGACAATACAAGTGGTAACATTATCCAGGTCCAAATAACTATAGGTGAAAAAAAGCACTTCATCCAGCAAATCCAACTTCATCCAACAAATAAACCCCGACCATGTCTTCAAGATGATAAAGACAACTTTTTTTCTCTTTTAAAGTAAGCATAACAGAAATCTACAATTTCTACACAAGACCCTGGAAGGTAATTACTCAGTTCAGAAGCTCTTCACAGAAAAATACTTAACAGCTTGCCTGCAAACGGCCTACGAATATCATCTATCCCTTCCATAGATGGGTAAACATGTGGTGATGAACACTTATAAAAAACACCAGTTCTTCAGCTCTGTTGCTTGCTCTTTCAGAAGAAATTAGAAAGAGCCAGGTAGGTTACTTTCAAATATTGAGCCCAAAAGTTATAAAAGGAAAAAAGCAAATATGATATCTGATGTCTCAGGTTTTCCAGATTGCATCTCCACCTTTTTCAGCAAAAGTCCAGTTTTCTTTTTCATTCATTCCATTCTCACTGACATACAGAAACACGACTGACCAACAGATTAATTCCAGGCTTTACATATTACCCCTTCAGACTCACCCCTTCAACTCCTACTTAAATCCTCCGTCCGAGGTCTTGTGCCAACAAACAGAAGTCAGAAACTGTTGTCAGGGTGGATGCAGACAGCCACCAATTTGCTACACTGCAGCTGAAGCCAACACTGTAATGCCTCATTGCTTCACAGTGCTCAGAACTTAGTATTAACAGTTAGTGATGAATTTTAAGTTTGTTTTCTGTCAAAAATTGATATTGCTTGAAAGACAACCCTCCATGTAGCATTAGTACTTCTCTTCATGAAGGCAAAGCACTAACTGTCATGTCCCATCCCCTCCTCTCCCCATCAGATTCAGCATCAAGACAAGAAGCTTTAAAACCTTAACAGATAAAGTTAGTGGCCATCAATTAAGTATTTGTTTTTCTCCTTCCCAAGATAAAGATCTGCCACACAGACCATCAAGCTTAATAGAGACTGAAATGCCCTAGAGAAGCTTGCAGTCAAGATATGTTCTTTAATCATCTGCATACAGAATGTCCGAAATTTACTAACATTCATACCTGTTTTGTTGCAACATGTCTCTGGAACATGCTGACATTAAAGAAGCATCAGACATATTTGCTGAAGTCAGGGAAAGACTGTTTTTGTAATTTACAACTCTAACACACAGCTACTTATCTGAAACAAGGTATGACTGTTTGATGCATATAAAAGCAATAATGTTGCTAACTACCTAGTTAATATTTTCGATTAAAAAAGTTTAGCAATTGTATCAAAACAATTCAGTTCTAAAAGAAAACTAGCAATTTTACATTAAAATTATCACAAAACCCATTGCTCATATCAAGCTTTGGATTCTAGTCCTCACATGATATCCCTACAGGATCCAGAAATTTAAACTGCATTCTAGTTGGATCTGTGCTGCTAGTGTTTAAAAAAATATGCATTTATGAGTCTTCAGTAACAGCATTTAAAACTCTAGAAGCTCTGTCACACCTTTGCACTATAACAGGTACTTGAATATTTCATAAATCATGAATTCCATAAGGGCACAATTAAGTTGAAAAAAATGTATTCTAGAAGGAAGTGTGCCTTAACAAACAGTCTCATTCCATTTCACTGAACTTTGAAGATACAGTTTCTTTTAACTTCTAAACAAGATCTGATTGGGACACAAGATTTCTCACCATTCGTTTTTGTTATCAAGAATGAAAAGAACTATAGAAACTAGATTTATTTAGCAGACAGGTTAAGTCACTTCTTAACTATGGAGCCTCACTGTTCCTCTCCTAATTATTTAAAATCCATAGAGCTTGAACAGGACCTTAACAGAGTTCAGCAGCAACAAGCATTTAGCTGCCTCTTGGAACATAGACATCAAATATCTAAGCCACTAGAGTATTAGATGAACAGTCACAACAGCTGCAGAAACTCCCATCTGGACAAACTCAAGGGGAAAAACAACCACAGAGACAAACATAGTCACACATTAAATCTCATTTGAAAGAACCTATTCTAGGTCTGAATCCTCCTACTCTCTTTCTTCCCCCAAAAGATAATGATTTAGAGAGCCTTTCCTTGTAGATCATAGGGATTTTTACAGTTTGTTTCACAATGATGTTGCTTTCAATACCATTTTCACAACTGGTAAAAAAACCCTAGATTTCACCCCATCAGTGAAATAAATTTCATTTTTTGAACAGATACTCATTGCTTCTTTCCTATTCCTCTTTTGCAAGTAGGGAGTGTACACAGTTTATATTTCACTAAAGACTAGCTACATAAATTATAGTTCAGCTTTGAAAGATACTACGTAATTGGAAAAATTTATTATAAACTGCAGTAGTTATATGACTGCACATAACTTCTTGTAATACTGACTTTCTTAGCAATTCTTTTTGAACTCAAGCAAGTGTAACAGGCAAGCAATAAAATCTTTTCACATTATACATATTGACACACAGTATTTTTACATTTTTTTTTTTAAGCAAATACTACACACGGTTATTCAGCAATTATTATAGTACTTACTATTCCAGGACCAAAATCATCTCTGTTGCAGTTTCATAAACTTCATGCAAGTTAATGACCCATAGATTGCATTGTGCCAGCTCAAGGACTGCAATTTCATGGATTATTTCCATCCGACAGTCTTGGCCCTTTCTTCTTTTTCTCATGAATTTGGCCGCAAACTCTCTTTCAGTGTCTTTCTGGATACACTTCTTCACCACTGCAAATTTGCCTCTGAAATGAAAGAATAATTTTAAATTAAAATTAAGTTCCTTAGTGACAACATTAGCATGGCCCTTACAAATTAACGTTACAGGAAACTTGAACTAAATCACTATTAATGAATACATTTAAAATATATTGTAAATTTAGAAACATGCCTTGCTGAATGATAGTCCCTACACTTAAGTTGGGAACATCACAAGCCAGAATGTAATTTAACCTCCATTAAAAATAAGGACTTAAACCTATCAATTCAAGGAACATCAATTTCAAAAAACACAGAATAAACAAGCTGTGCTAGTTTGCCAGATTAAGGTATCCTCAAACCTTTCATTAAAAAAATCTGGCAGAAACCAAAGTGTACAAACAGGCAATTAAGCTTTCTGTGACTATGTTACAATAACCTCAGTAATTGCCCAACTATTGTTTTCTAAAGTATCCTACCATATTCAAGGCAACAGCAACCAGAACTCTTATCGAATAACTGCTCAAAATCCTGTCCCATTTGCCATGTAATATCCAGACTCTGCTCTACATTGTCAAAAATGGCACTTTGTATTTTTACCATAATGTGTCTCAAATGATAACAGCCAGCGTTTTTTTACTAACAGTATATGTCTCAAATAACAGCCAGCGTTTTTTTACTAACAGTTCTCAAAATCTCCTATTCTCAGTCTCACTGTATAAGAAACATAGAATCATAGAATGGTTTAGGTTGGAAAGGACCTTCACAGATCATCTAGTTCCACCCCACCAGGCAGGGACACCTTCCGTAGATTAGGATGCTCAAAGCCCTGTCCAACCTGGCCTTGAACACCTCCAGGGATGGAGCATCCACAACTTCCCTGGGCAATTTGTTCCAGTGCCTCACCACCCTCACAGTGAAAATTTTTTTCCTAATGTCTATTCTAGATTTACCCTCTTCCAGTTTAAAGCCATTACCCCTCATCCTATCACTACATGCCCTTGTAAAAAGTCCCTCTCCAACCTTCTTGTAGGCCCCCCTTCAGATACTGGAAGGCTGCTATAAGGTCTCCCCGGAGTCTTTTCTTCTCTGGGCTGAACAACCCCAACTCTCTCAGACTGTCTTCATAGGAGAGATGCTCCAGCCCTCTAATCATCTTTGTTCCCCTGCTCTGGACCCACTCTAACAGATCCATATCATTCTTATGTTGAGGGCCCCATGGATCATTACAAAAAACATTAAGCAGTTTGACCAACACAAAGCTTTCAAACAAAATTTTTGCGACAATGCTAATGTGAATACAAACACACTGAGCAGAACTGAGCATAATGCTTAACCCACATTAATGAGCGCCATTTCTGACAAAACACACAACCGATGAGTTACACCAAGCCAGCAGGCTAGCTAAAACCACACTGCAGCACTTACGTCAGAAGACTTCCTCCACAGCATTCTGGACTGAAGTGTCTGCACTAAACTTCCTTGCAATAGAGTCCCACGCCACCTGCTCCACTTAGTTCCATGCATATAGCATGGATTTTTTAGACTAAAAAGGTCTATTAATTAACAAATATCTGTCACATAATACAATGATGAATTCTCATACTTTGAAGTATGGCAAACTTTTTTTAGTTCTTACCATAAAGGTACAATGTTCATCAAAGCTATCTTTATATATATGTAAAAATTTTCTTGTAAAGCTGCAGACTTTGGAGAGTCCTTGGAGGTCTTTATTTTTGTTCTTTAACTGATCATAGCATTGCTGAAACCAAAATAGGAATCCTCATCTGGTTTGGAATACAATTACATGGGCTTTGCCTCTCCTATCTCCAAGCTGCAGTTCACAGATTTAACCAATTCAGCTCATGTCAAAGTTTTCACCCTCACAGCTCATAACCTATTGGTAGATTGCTATCCATGAAATATAACTGATAAAAGAAGTTGTGGTCAGCTTACTTATAATAGGCATTTGTTTCAAAATTACCCAGTCAAAATGAGTTAAGTCAAATAAGATCCCACAAAGTGGGTATTTGCTAGGCAATCTCACTAAAATAATCTGCCTTGTAACCGCTGATTCAGCCACAGGAATATTATTTTGCATAAGCACACATTATCAACAGCACAATAAGTATTAATACTATATCAGAGCACAGCCCAGATGCCTGTGAAGGCAGACAAACAGTAAGAATATGCTTTCAATGTCTTGAATCTAATTTTGGGGGGAGAAAGTTCTAATATATACACATTAAGACAATATTAAAGATTATAGGAAAATAATATTATAAGATTTTGGAGCACTAGGAAATTGTGGTTAAAAGATCATTATTAAATGTGTTAATCAATGTAGAGTTACCACAGAATACCACAGGAGGAACAGACACCTAAAGGCTAACAACCTGTGCTAGGTGCCTGGTACACATCCATCAAAAAACATATTCCCAATCCTCAAAATATTGCAAGAATCATGTTTCTTTTCGGTAGATTTCTAATCAGCTTGTGACACTAGTGTTGCAGCTGCAAGTATAAACACCCCTCCTGCACTGCAATCCTAACCATGACAGACCAATCTTCCTTATGTAGCCAGTGAAAAGGATTTTAACTTATTATAAAAACATGCATCTGTATGGATAAATGCGTACCTTAATATTGTACATGAATCAAAGTGTTCCTTGCTGAAGTTTGGCACCAAAACCAAAAACAGCACAGGGAAAAAAAACCCTAGCAACTATGGTAAAATAAAAACCAACAGATAAAAAGAAATTGATAGACTAACAGACAAGCCCTTTAACAGCAACTTATTGTAACACCTGGTAGATACTAAGCCTTTATACCAAAAACCTAGACCCCTGGGTTCAGCCTTCTCTATTTTTCTGAAATAGTCTCTGAATGCACAGTTTCCTTCTGACTGAATGTCACCTTAGCGCAGAGTCAAAAGCTTTTAATTCTAGCACTGGTGAAGGGCCTAGAGAAAGCAGTTTAGAAAAGTTTGAAGTCTCTATAATACATCTTTCAAGAAGCACAGCTTTGTTTTGCAGTACATACAGAATCAATCTGGAAGCAAGTTAATTAGCCTAATGAGTACCAATGTTGCCAATTCATTGCATGTTAGTCACTACGGAAATAAAACAGTATTCACAGGGCAGCAAGAAACATCAAGAGCCACCACTGTGTGTGGCCACGCATGTCCTGTTTAGCTGAGCTGGCCAGAAGCCTGATAGGTGATGTAATTAAAAGGACAGGTTACACAGGAGTTCAGCCAGCTGACAAATACTAATTCTTAGTTGTTTAAGACCAAGAATCCTGCCCAGATTCTTTATGGTTATACCTATAATTAGAGCTATTATAACTACTGCCTGTAGAACTCCTCTTTTCCCAATACAATCCCAAAAAAGATCAAGCTTGACAAACCTGATGTTTATAACTAATAGAACTAATTACAGGCAGCAATCTAGATTCATGTCTGAGACAAATTTCAGAGCTAGGATCCAAAGATACCATCCACTGTATGGTTAAGCCAAAAGATAAATTTGTAAAGAATTTCTTTTTGATGGAGACAGAATAGTAGATAAGATATAAACAAGCTTTCCCATGAAGTACACATTGCATACAATTAATCTCTGCTTTTTTTTTTTAAATCTATTAGATTGAAAATAGTATTAGAACAGAGCATTGCTAGCTTAGCTGTATTGAGAAAAGCTAGCAGTGAGAACATTGCGTTGAAGGAAAAACAACTTTGAGAAATACTTAATGTGTATTTCCAAATTTAAAAACTGACTACTAGTCATCCAAACACAAACAAAAATGCTTTGAAGGGAGACATGAATAGGAAACTTGAAGTAGTTCTCAGTCTTCACAAGAGTCTCATTCAAGAGTTATGATTTAAGATAAATCATATCTGATTACAAAGAAGTTCAATGTCATCTTTTCAGATTGCCAACAGAATTAACATTGTTTCATCTGGCATACATTATGGCTTAAAGGAAAAGTCTCAAATCACAAATCAAATGTCAAATCAGATAAGCAGGAACATTTATGTCACACCAGTTAATTTTGGTTGTCCTAGGCTCAGAAGAACAGAGGACTAGCCTTACTTTAATGATTATTTTTAAAGTGACCTAAAAAACACTGTCGCTATAACAACTGCAGAAATAATAGTAATTCCTGTGAAGATATTTACTTTTCACAAAGTTCAGAAAAGTTTTGAGATCCACAAAATTATATGCAATTTATTAAATAATTCCTATCAAACATTTTT